CTGTGTAGTAGCTTCTGTTTGCTGATTGTCTGTAGGTTCTTATTGCTTGTTGACTGTCCCTAACCAGTTTATTTTGTGAAGATACTGAGGCTTTACAGGAGTGATACTAGCTTTCTAGAGCCTCAGGGCTAGCCAGTAATTGAGGTGATAGTAGAATCCAGATCTGTTTAGATTTGTTTAATAGTCCTAAAAAGATTCTGGGGGACATGTTTATTGGATAAAAACAGGTGGTTGTGGGTGGTTCCCATAAACCATAGTTGGGCCCCTGTTGAATATAATACTAGAATTCTAGTAGCAGTGACTTGGCAATTCCAATGGATGGACTAGTGTTCTTGTCAAACCTCTTGCAAATGGTTTACCCACTAGTCCAGTCAGTGATAGGGGTGCCCCTTTTCTCCCAGAGGTATTATCACTGTTTGAATGCTTTGAAATAAAGAGATCATGCCCCAGATTTTACTCTAGGGAAGGCTTTGGTATTTTGATGGTATTTTAATAGTTTCAGAGGTTCTTTAATTAAAGCACTTGATCTGAGATTAATAAATTTACTCAGAATTTATTTTGTGTTTATAAGATGGCAGTATTCACTTGTCTTAAGTTATGGGGAAGGTAACAGTTGACTCCCTAGTTTTCTGGTTTTGGAATCGGTGTGATGCTTGCCTCTAGGAATGACTTGGGGAATACTATATCTCTTTTGGTTGCATTAAGGAGTTTGAGGAATGTTTGAGTTAAGCCATCTCTAAAGTTCTTGCAGAATTCACCAGTGAACCCATTGGGGCCTAGATTATTTTTTTTCAATGTCATTGACTAATCCTGGATTGTTTAGGATTTTTATATCTTCTTGGTTCAGTTTTGTTAGTTCACATGTATCTAAGAATCTCTCCATGTCTTTTGACTTTTCCCTTGTAGTATAGGTTCACAAAGAAGTTAATCAATGATCTGTATTTCAGCAAAATCTGTTGTAATTTCACCTTTTTCATTTCTAATTGCTTGAATTTGGGCCTTTTTAAATTTTGGTAATATTTGTTGAGAGTTTGTCTATTTTGTTTATTCTTCCAAAAAAATCACCTCTTCAGTTAATTGCTTTTTGATTTTTATTGTTGTTTTTCTTCCAATTTCATTAATTTGTGCCCTGATCTTTATAATTTGCTTTCTCATACTAGCTTTGGATTTGGATTTTTCTTGTTTTTTCAGACCTTGAGGTTCACCATGAAGTTACTTATCCAAGCTTGTTCTGTTTTTTGTTGAGGGAATTCACTAGTATAATTTTTCCTCTTAGAACAGCTTTCATCGTGTGCCATAGGTTCTAGTACATAGTACTCCCATTATTGCTCAATTCTAGGAACCTGTATAATACTGTCTGTGACACTGATTATTCAGGAGAGTATTGTTTCCATGTGTTTGCATAGTTTCTGTAGTTTCTTTTGCCATTGACTTCTAATTTTGTTGCATTATGATCTGATAGTATGCACAGAGTAGTTTCATTTCTTTTACATTTACTTAAGAATGCTTTATGGGCTAGTATGTGATCTGTTTTGGAGAAAGTCCAATGTGCTGCTGAGAAGAATGTATTCTCTTACTGGATGGAACACTCTGTAGATGTCTGTTAAGTGCTTTTTTAGTTTGAAGGTTTGGTTTACCTGTGATACTTCTTCATTGATTTTTTTTGAGGGGGGAGGAGTCTAGTTGATCTCTTTATTATTTGTTTTGTTTTGTTTTTTTGGTACTGGGAATTGAACTCAGGACCTTGTGCTTGCCAGGCAGGCGCTTGTGCCACTGGGCTGTACCTGGCCTGATCTGTTTATTTGTAACATTGGAGTAGTGATGTCCCTTATTATAATTGTATTGGTGCTTTCTGATTTTTCATGTCCATTACTATTTGGTTTATCAAGTCAGGTGCACTGGTATTTGGTGTATATGTTTATAATCGTTATTTTTTCCCTTTGAATTGTTCCCTTAACCAGTATGTAGTGACCTTCCTTGTCTTTTCTGGTCTGTTTTGGCTTGAAACCTACTTTGTGTGAAATTAGGATAGTTACTTCTTTTTCTGGGTTCCTGTTGCATGGAATATTATTTTCCATCTTTTTGAATTTGTGAATTTTTTTGCATTAAATGTGTTTCTTGTATACTGTATCATTGACTTTTGTTTCTTTTTTTTTGTTTTGTTTTGTTTTTTGTTTTTTTTTTGTTTTTTCTCCGGTACCGGGAACCGAACTCACGACCTTGCGCTTGCCAGGCAGGCGCTTTTGCTGCTGAGCTAAATCCCCAGCCCCAACTCCTCCC